GGCTGGGCAGGAGGTTCGCCCGCCGCCGGCTGCGCTCCCACCAGCGCCTTCGCGCTTTCCTCCTGGAGATGTTTAGCACCTTCCAGATCTGCGCCTGCACCAACGAGCTCTGCCTGCTCGGCAACGTGGAGCCGAAGCCTCACGCTGCCTTGGCTCTCACCTACGGTTTCACCGTCCTGCACGGTTTGACCCTGAGCGGCAACGCGTGCAACCCCTGCGGCACCTTGCAGCTGGTGTGGGCCGGTGGGACGTCGCTCAAGGCGGGAGGACTCCAGATCGGCGCTCAGTTCGCGGCCGCGGTGCTTGCCAGAGCCTTTATGCGCTTTCTCTGGAGCCTGGAGCTGGCAGAGCCGCATTTTGGAGCCCTCTCGCAGCGCTGCAGCAACCCCATGCAGATTACGGAGGTGCAGGCGTTCTGCATAGAACTGCTCTTTTCTGTCGTCTTCCAGCTGACCGTCCTGCGAGTGGAACGCGTTCACCCCAAATACAAAGTCCACTTGATAGCTCTTCTCATCACCATGCTCGTATATGCAGGTTAGTTGTTTGGGGGTTTTTGTCCTCTTTTCCTGCACAGAAGGTTTTATTTTCTTAAAAGTGTTAAGATGCAAAATTATTATTTTTTAAAAAAACCACCAACACATCTGAAGGCAAATCTTTGGTCTTGCATACGCAGAGTTCATTTGGAGTTTATGTGAAGTTCGCCTGGCTAGATTCCAGGCAGGTGTGGGGTTAAGAATGAAACGAGTTACAAATTTAAACTGATGTCAAGTCTACAGGCAAATGTGGTTGAGAGTTTGACAGTACGCTGCTAAAATTTCTCAGCGAAGGATCGTTTCATAATCTGCCTTTGGGTAGCGTGAGAGATTTCGCACAATGTGCTCTGATTTCTAAGTGGCATTGCGAGAGAGCGTCGGGGATAAAAACGCTGATTGTGCAACGGCAGGGTACAGGCTGGTAATATGGGAGTTCTGCATTTAAATAATGAATAATTCATATCAGTGCAGTTTATTTAGCTGTGGTAAAACCTTAAATACCTGGTGTGTCCCTGTCCTTGCCCCTACCTGCCTGTCACCTCCTGCTTCCCAGAGCTGGGGAATTGTCACCTGGACGGTCTCGGAGCCGAGTCAGTCTCAAACTTCTTTCTGCCAACTGTTGATGCTTCTTCCTGTTGTCCCCAGTGAACTGCCAGATTTATGTTGCTTGTCACCTAAGGACTGGGAGGGAGCGGGTTGTACTGGGAAGGAGATCCCCTAGTTTGAGGCACAGGGAAGTGAGAGAGCGATGCTTACGGATCTCCTTGCTTGTGCGACAGCCCCCATCACAGAGGAAGCCGTCTAGGAAGTGATTAAATCTGGTTATGAGAGGGGGAGACCGCTGCCTTATCTGCAGACACCTGGGTTGTCATTGGCGTCTTCTCCAGAAGGTTAAGCTGTGTTACGCTATCTAACAGAACAGCGTATAGCAGAATAAAGTACCGCTGAATTTTCAGAAGTATTAATGAAAAAACCTTTACTCATTATGTGTAGCTGAAATTAGCTAATACCTGAAAGATTAAAACAAGCCCATGGAGAATTCTGAAAATTAACTTAGCAATTTGAAGTACTTTCTAAAATTAATTTTTGAAGGCACAGGCAAGGTGTCAGTGCATTTTTGCATATTAAACTTAGTTCAGCATTGCTCGGTCGAAGGGTAGCCAACGATTATCCTCCCTCTTCCACAGGCATAGGAAGCAAGATTCCTCATTCTTAACAGTGTTTTCCGACTTAGCACATAGTGGTATAAAATAATTCGTGTTACATTGTATTTCTCTTGGCTAGTTCATACAAAGGATTCCTGCCCAGTGTCCTGCTATTTTTTTGCCAGGAGGAGCAGGCTGTGTCCCAAGTCCACTTCCTTGTCGTAACCTGGGACTCGTTACGCCTTTCCAGTGCAATCGATCTGCCTGTACTTCTAGGAAACCTCAGCCCAACTGCGCCCGGGCCTTTCACAGCCACAGTTTGTCTTTATTGATTACGACACCCTGTGCTACCTGGACATATTCCCTTCTGCTTCTTTCAATATAGAATCAAGTCTACTGTAAAAATATATATGCATTCTGAATATGTACGCTCCTGAACCTAGTTTTATCCCGTTTAGTGGAAAATTTGACTCTTTCTTGTTCACTCTGCTCCAGCGTTTCTAAGGTTTGCACTCTTTGCTGTACGCTCACCTTCAAAAGGAAGGATACCCCATCCCTGGAAGTGTTCAAGGCCAGGCTGGATGAGGCTTTGAGCAACCGCTCTAGAGGAAGGTGTCCCTTCCCGTGGCAGGGAGTTGGAACGAGATGATCTTTAAGGTCCTTTCTAATGCAAGTCATTCTATGAAAGGTGAGAAGTGCTGTCCTCCTCCTGCAGTAGTCACCAGCCCAGCGTTTGCTGTGCGCTCCTGAGGTGTGGATTGAAGTCTCCTGAAGTAGAGGAGGGTGTAAAACCCAAGATTCCTCTCACTGAGTTGTTACACAACAAGTGTAGGAGCAGGCTGCTGCTATGAATTTCTTCCTGTGATCAAGTCACAGGCTTGTGCTGTCACAGATCTCTTCTTCCAGTGGAAGGTTGGGTTAGGTGCACGTGGGGCACCTTAGAGGTTCTCAAACCTTTCTTCCTGCCCCTTTTCCTCTGCCCACAGCTACAGGATAGCCTCCGTTCTCCTTCCTCCTCCGTTTTGGGACCCCCTGCCCCCAGGTGCTCAGCACAGCCTCCTGACAGCGTGCCAGGTAGTTGAGCCAAGGGCCTAGCAGGCAGCCTCGACCACGACTGTTGCATCCGTACGACCCACGGTACGTCGTGCGGGTCTTGTGGCGTAGCCCAAGCACGTCTGCTCCACCTCCAGGTTGAGAAGTGATGCTTCGTAAGTACAGAAGGAAGAGGGACTTGCAGATGAGGTGCTACAGCAGGCCGAGGTCTCATCTTTGAAGAGTGGCAGATGTTTAACTCAGCTGGGCTGGATCATTCTCCGGAAACCCTCTGCACCTCGTCATTAACTGTTTAGAAGGAACTTAAGAGGAATGGATCTTTCTTTCTCGCCCACCACCAAAAGACAAGGCAGCCAGTGCAAGTTTAGGCAAAGCAATGCTAATTTAGGCAAAGTGGTAACATTCTTCCTTTTTCCTACAAACATAGCAAATAGTTACATTGTATAAACGATTTTTCTCACTTGAATTTGACAGATACAGCGTTCTAGCTAGGAACTCAGAAAGGCCCATTCAATTTACAAAATAAAATTCATAGAATCATAGAATGGTTACATTTGGAAGGGACCTTGAAGATCATCTCCTTCCAGCCCCCCTGCCCTGGGCAGGGACACTCCTCTCCCACTACTAGAACAGGTTGTTCCAAGCCCCATCCAACCTGGCCTTGAACACTTCCAGGGATGGGGCATCCACAACCTCTCTGAGCAACCTGTTCCTGCTAATGTTTTCCTTTTACATTCGAAACCAAATCAGTTGTGCTTTCAGGACCTGTGTTTATTGCAGTTATGAGTGAATCAGAAATGTTAGAAAATACATCTCCTACATAGGATCTCGTATTTCATTCCATCGGTTATGTGCTACTCTGAGTGTGAAAGCTGCGTCCTGTAAGAGGAATAATTGCTGTGTAAAAAGGGACTGAGAAGGAATAACTCTTCTTCCAATGTGGTTTGGCTAAAATGTTGGTGGATAGCCCCGTCACTGTGGCTTACAGCCGCCTAAAGGTATTGGTACACACACAGGGCTCAAAAGCATTAAATTGTATTTGTAGGGTTGACTAAATGACGTGTTGATAGGGTGCTGCTGTGTGTACCCATAAAAGGTACTTAGGGGTGCCATGCAACTTACTCCAACAAATACCATCAGATTGTACGGTATTTTCAAAATTGCTGGCTGTTCCTTTGGTTTTTCTTTCTTCTATTTTCCATAGTTAAAAATATTTAGGTTTTGTGGGGTTTTTTTTACATTAGTCTTACACAGACCAAATTTTTATAGTAGTACATGCTGTATACAAAACTCTGATACTGCATTCACTCCGTTTCTTCTACTAAATAGAAGCAAAAAGAGAATGTTATGTCTTTGCACATTAAGGGAACGGTTCAGAAGCTAAGGATGCAGATCATATACATGTTGGTAAAGAGTATTTTTGGATATTTCCTTTGGGAAAATATTTAATTAGGGGAAGAAAAAAAATATGCCTTTTGAGGGGTTTTTCATTTACAGGCAATATTACAGTGAAGTCAGGATTGTATGAAATTGGTTAGATCTTTCTGCACCTAACCTGTCGAGGTAAAAATAGCATACCTGCTTTTAATTCTGAGTTTCTCCCTAATTTTCGTTTTGCCTTTATTAATTTCAAAGGTTAAAATTACTTTCTCACCCATTGTGTGGAGTACACATTACTTCACCTTTTTAAGTTTTTCTGTGTACGACAAAGATGTTACGCTTCTTTTTCCCGTAAAATCATTTATCTTCTTTGGTACACAGACTAAGATGTTTAATAAATATTTTAAAATAAGATGGTGCTGGCCTATGGCTTATATTCCAGTAGTTACTAGTAATGAATATTAAAGAAATACAGCAGTTAAAACTCTAATGTTCAAAACCAGCAACTGCATCCTAAAAGTCTACCCTTTAATGTATGTTTGTGGATATAAAAGCAGAAGCAGTGAATTTGTAAACAGATTAAAGCAAAGTAAATTACTGTAGCCGGCCTTCCTGGCAACGTTAACGTGTCAGCGGGCAGAGCAACAGACTGCCTGGTAAATCAAGTCGCTGCTGAGAACAAGCGTAAAACCAGAGTAAATTGAGTATGTCAACAAGGATTAAAGCCTTCCTGACCTGTAATAGTGGTAAGAGAAATAATAAGGAGACTATAGAAAGAGAAATACGGAAGAGACCTTACTAAAACTTTTGGAGAATGCCTGCAGGCTCGTAACAAATGAGGGTTACAGCAGCACGGCGTTTGCCCGAAGGGGAGTTCAAAGCTCCTGCTGGCTTAGTGGAGAATCCAAGAGCAAGCTTTAAGAAACTAGACACAATTATCTATTAACCTATTGCCATTAAAATGTTATATAAACCAGATACGAGGCGGTTAGTAACTCATAGTGTAGCAATAGAGGTAATTCTGCTGCGTAATGCTTTTTCTGCAGGACCACAATGAGAGGAACAACATCTGTCAGAATTAAGCCCGCTTACCTCCAGGTTCATCCGCAGCACAGTGACAGTTTAGTCCCCAGCACGGTGTGCGTTTGGAGCTAGTTATTGAGAGGATGTTCAGGCAGCTTCATTCACACCTGAAGGCAGGGGCCAGGAAAGATGCTTGAGTGCTTTAACCTTCCTTTTCCAAGAGAGTGGAGTGAGGTCTGCTTTTATTTTCTTCAGACAACATACAGAACTATTGTGAAGGCTTTCCCCACAGGTATACGTGATAACCTTAATGTTTTATAACTTGCTCTGATACTATTAAGTGTTCTAATAAGAAAGTTTAGAAGTCAGCTTAGCAAGAACAGCACCTGACAGGTTTTCTTCCCTTATCTTGTACATTTTACATGCAACATGGGGATGTAATGAAAGCTCAGGATTTCTTTACTGATATTTGTGTAATTTCTAAAAGCCTGATACAGACCATTAGCAAAGCAGCTTACAGTTTTATCAACAAAAACATTCAACAGTAGCCAAACACTTCAAACAGTACTTGCTAGAGATAAAATATCCAAGCCTATGCCTTGAATATTTTAGAAAACAGTTAAACGTATGTCATCTCGTATAACTTCAGAAAAGTTTATCCGCTCAAATGGATTCTGCTAATGCAGTTTGTTGCAGAGTGTGCATCTCTTGTTGTTCTGTGTGTGTGCTTTTCAATATTCATTTAAAATAAGCATTAAGCAATGTGGTTCGTGTTTTATTGCAGGTGGAAATCTCACAGGAGCAATATTTAACCCGGCGCTGGCTTATTCATTACATGCAAATTGCTTCTATGACAGATTTTTGAGTTACTCCCTAGTGTACTGGATAGCCCCATCCTTAGGTAAGTTCTTAATACGTTATGGATTTCAGGAGGTGGTGTTTAGTACATGGGTCAGAAGTCAGAAAATAGATATTATTTATACGACAGTCTGCTTGTTTTCTGCTTTAAACAAAATCCAGAAAACAGTCAGTTGTAACTTGTGCAAAGAAGTGATTCAGAATCACGGTTTTGTTTTGCAAATATAGGCAGTTGTTTTAAACTCGTTTAATGCTCTGTGTAGAACACCTGTAACACTGTTTTGTGAATCAAGCCTCTAATCCTGAATTTCAAACAATAGTTTTATTCTCAAAATCATACCTAGTGTTCTGATCAGTTTATTTTAAGAAAAGACTCTATTAGGTTATATAATTGTTTAGTTTAGGTGTCACGTTCAAAGTCCAAGTACTTTGAGCAAGAAAAGGTACCTACCGAAACCCCACAAACAGCACGATTCTAAATGGAAAAAGGTTGGTGTTTAGGTTGGGGGTAACTAGTTAGTTATAAACCAACAGCTGTTTACTTTGGAGCACGATCCTTTCGAGGCTGCCCACTGTTCGGGACTTGATACCTGCGTGAGGCACGCTGCAAATTCACCCGCTGACCAACGGCCCACTTGTAGGTTCTAGCAGAATATTGAGAAGGAGAAGAGGCCGCCTGGCAGTGAATATCAGCCTGATGTAAGCTCAGAAGGAGAAACGTGCTGCTCAGCTTGCGGTTTCTGTCTTGTTTGGTGACAGTATACAAGAACATGGGTCTGATTAATTAAAGAAAACTCCACGGGCATTAGCTCGAGTGCTTAAAATATGCTTTCTCAATTATTAATATCATAATATAAAATCTTTTTTATCTCCATAGTGTCTAAACTTTACAGTTCCCATTCTATGTCTTTCCACCTCGGTCACTGTTGGTCACAATCTGTTTTTACCTTAAGAATAATGAATATTAGTAACTGAGGGTTTTCTAGCTTAAATTATGGTTTTATTGTGGAAACTATTGGTTTTAACTTCTAGTTGTATGAAAATGCTCCACGTCACACGTGCTTACAGTTAGTCATTAAAAATCCTGAGCTCTCTGCTTCAAGGGTATATAAAGCAGCAGTGCTAATCCTTGGGTCTTTCATGCCTGCTAATCCTATTGCAAGGTACAGGAGCCTGTGAAACGCACACAGGAGATATCCCACAGGACTCCAGCTGAACACATAACTTCTCTTCGTCCTTTGAGTTTGTGTTTGTGCATGTTCTACTTGCAAGGACTCTCAGTCAGTCAAAAACGGAGACAGGATTTTCCCTCTAACTTCAATTCGCTGTAATGCACTTGGATTAAATTCGATATCTGAACAGCATGAACGAGCGACAGAGGAAGCACGATGAAAGCCCAGGCACTGCTCGGGTTCGCAGCTAATGAAGTGTCTTGGGCAAAGCTGGTGGGCATCATGCTGATGAGCTGATGCAATACTGGTGGTATTTCTCGGAATTCAAGTTCAGCTTTCTGCCGCCTCACCTGATTTCAATCTGAGATGTGTCAGCTTGTAAGCACTTGGGATTCAATGTTTTGCAAGTGATCGAAAGAAAGAGCAGGCGTTCTGAAACACCGCGTTCCACTTCTATAGCAAGGTGCATCCTGCAGAACTGCTCTGCAGAAAGCCTTCGGGTGATTTTTGGCTTGAGTAACAAAATTGGCAGGTGTTAAAGCAAGTGGCACCATGACCTGAGGAATTTATAGAATCACAGCATGTCTTAGGTTGGAAGGGACCTTGGGGATCATCTGACCCAACCCCTGCCATGGGCAGGGACGCCCTGAACCAGCCCAGGTTGCTCCAGCTTCATCCAACCTGGCCTTGAACATCTCCAGGGAGGGGGCAGCCACAGCCTCTCTGGGCAATCTGGGCCAGAGTCTGGCCACCCTCGTACTGAAGAATTTCTTCCCAAGATCCAACCTGAACCTCTTCTCCTTCAATTTAAATCCATTTCCCTTGTCCTGTCGCTGGACACTCTTGTCAAAAGTCCCTCCCCAGCCTCCCTGTAGGTCCCTTCAGGCACTGCAGGCAGGGATAAGGTCCCCCCAGAGACTTCTCCAGGCTGAACACCCCCAGCTCCCTCAGCCTGTCTACTCTATTTAGAATGCTCTTAGGGAGTAATGTTACATTTCTGTGAAAATGCGTAACCAGCAGTTTATCATTAGTTAACACAGAGAAAACACATACACCGTGTACTGAGTGCTGCCTCTTAATGTATCAGGGGAAGGAACTCCAGACAAAGCAGTTTTAAATACATGAATACTCATGCCACATCTCTTTTTGGGCAGATTCACTACTGTAGTCAAACATTTTGTCACAGATCTCAGGTCTGTGGATCACCTGAAGGGCTGAGCAGTCTCTTGGTTGTATAAGAACCTCATTACAAAACAAGGGAGCTTCAGGGATACTCACAGACCTTATTGTAGACACCAGGAGTTATAAACAAATGTAGGATTTCCAAGGTGGAAGTATAGAGGAGACAGTTGAATTTGAAAACTGAATTGAATTAATAGAATTCCATTCTACAGAATTCTCTGGAATCATAGAATTTTTTCTTCCAAAACTCATCCAAATAATGAGACATGTAGGAAAATAACCTGTTTGGATGATACTCAAATTCTTGTGAAAAGAACCTCTAAGGCGAATCACAGATGATGAGGGAAGGGGTATTTTAAATTCAGTTGTCAAAATTACTTTCAGAATCCACGTGTCAGCAGAAATACTGTTTCAGGCTTCCTAGAAACTGGCAGGGTCATCGCGAGATGCTGATTTGATGTGCCGCTTTCCCCAGCATCCGCATCTTAGCTGGTTACATTCCTTTGTTCTTGTTTGGGGGAATTATTTTAGGAGTCTG